TTATTTATTTATTTTTATAAGTTGCTTCCGATTTTTAACCAACACTGACCACCCTGGCCTTGTCTCCCCAGGGTATGGGAGATTTTCCCTGGTCACCCATCCCCCAGGGGGCATAGTTTGAGGTAATGACCTAAGTTTTTTAACATCTGCTATAATGTGCTCTGGAATGATGACACCAGTTTTACTCCTGTCCCCCACCACCCCCGCAAAAAAAGCGGAAAGGTCCCTTATTTCCCCAATCACCCCAACTGCAGTATTTGCTTTTCTAATGTTAGTCCGATGGGTGGGAGGTGGTATCCCATTGTGTGTATTTTCATGTATTGAGCATTAATTTGGGTGTATCTTTCTATGTATGTGCATTTTCTTATGGTTTTATACTTTGCAAATAACTTCCCCAAGTTTTTTTTTAATATTAACTTATGGCGCTGTGTTGAACAAAATAGTTCCTTCTAATTAAGTTGACTCCCATCAGTTTTCCTCTTTAGTTTGTTTGGTGTCTTATTGGAGAAATAAAATTCCTTCCCACTTTAATGTAACTAAGATCTTTATTAAAATATGTTTCTACGTTTCTTTCTAGGAGCTGAATAGTGTATTTTTTTTCACATTTACATTTTATCTATTTGGAATTTTAAAATTTTATTTCTGTAAATAGTTTGAGGTATGACCGACGTTTTTCTTCGCTGTTTTTAATTAATAACTAGTAAATAGTTAAAAGTTAGAGAGGCTGTGTAGTTAGTTAAGAAGGTAGATTCTTGGAACCAGGATGTGATTGTTCAATCCCTGAGGCCTCCAGGTGGCTAACCCGGGAAGTAACATCTTGCCTAAAACCCTCATCCCTAAAATAGGATATAGTCTTCATTTCTTAGGGTAACTGAATACATATAAAACATGTGTACAACAGTGCTGGGACTAGGTGCAGCTTAGTAAGTGTTAGCAGCTATTAGTATTGGTATTAATATGCCTTTCCTTGTACTGTAATCTCTGTTATGTGCCCAGGTGAACAGACCTGTTTTTTCTTTTTGTCCCTCTGGTTCTTTGGGTCTTTCTGTTCCTATATTTGTACCACACACTCTTGGGCCCTTCCTGATGGTGCACCAGGTTAAAGCACAGCACTATGAAGCTGTCTCAGCCAGAGCAATACGAAGCTAGCCGCAGTCACTTCAGCATAG